GAGGAGAGGGAGAGAAGAGGGAGAGGGAGAGATTAAGAAGAGGAAGAGATTGAGAGAGGAGAGGAAATGGGGGAGAGGAAAATGAGAAGAGAGAAAGGGAAAAGGGGGGGGGACAGAGATAGAGTCACAAAAGGGTAGAGAAGAGTTGAAAGTAACTACTGTAATTCTTTGTTTTCATATGTTTAAACCATAGACTTCTGATAGGAAGTTTATCACTGAAATTATTAATTCTTAAAGTTTCACGTTTTGGGGAAGTAGATGGCTCCTCATCTCTTCTTAGACTTGGCATTTTGAGGTTTCAGCACATGTGTATATGTATAATTTTTGGAAGGGTTTTATAATGCTATTTGATTCCTTTTATTTTGTAAGTTTCGGCTCCAACTATGCTAGTTTATTTCCCAGTTTACTTGGGCCACCTTCGTCAATGGTATACTTTTGAGATATCTTTTAACCATTATGAATTGATAAGAAATCTCTACTTCTTTTTAAAAAATTATTGATTTAATAACCACATAATCAGAAGAAGCATTCCATGACAACAGCATTGACATATTCAACAACAATTTCCAGAGCTAAGATGAATGTGTTTCACGATTGGCTGTACATTTTTAGGTTTACGTTGAATCACTACAGTTATACAATATTGTACTCAGTATAAACCCTTTAAGACATAAAATTAAATGAGGTTTAACCTTTAAAAAAGATCTCCATTTCATTATTAAAATACACATTTTCATACAGAAAAATTCATTTTTAATGCAATTGACACTAAGATGTTTGCACATGCATTTCTAATCTCTATATATCTGATTATTACTAGTCACAGTTGGTTACTTTCTGAGCTCCTTGGCATCTGAGCATGGATATAAAGTCATCAGGTAGATTTCAATGGTAATGCTTTTCACATCTACTAATTATTAAGGAGCAAATTTTTATGCTTTGAAGAATTTTTTTTTAACATACAGCTTTAACATATTCAGTAACCCACTCCAGAGCAAGGATACATCTCTTCCAAAAGTGGCTGTAAATTTTTAGGTTCACAGTTGAATTAATACAGTTATACAATATTGAACTCAGTATAAACCCTGTAAGATATAAAATTGAATGAGTTTTTACCCTTTAAAGAAGATCTCCATTTCAAGATATGCTGTTTCCTACATTTTAAAAATATTCTTTTTAATGTTTTTTAGAAGCAGCATATCATTACAGCTTTAACATGCCCCAAAACAGTTTCCAGAGCAAAGACACAGCTCCTTCAAAAGTGGCTATAAAATTTCTAGGTTTGCTGTTGAATCAATACAGTTATACAATATTGAACTCAGTACAAGCCCTGTAAGACATAAAACTGAATGAGTTTTTAACCCTCAAAAAAGATCTCCAGAGGAAACATTTCCTCCATGCTTCCAAGTGAAGCCAGCCATGATCAAGCAGGACCTTTGACTTATCTTCACGTAGGTGGAACTGGTAAAAGAAAGGGGCCAGGGGCTCCTCTCAATCCCATGTGATCCCTGAGAAACATCCTCAAATGACCTTAAGAATAAAAATAAATTGGTTTATCTGGGCCAACTGTATGGCCTTAAACACCCTAAAGGAAAGTATAACCAAAGAGTAAAGGGGCCAATATAATTTTTTCAGAGTCCATATGCATAGCTAAAGGCTATGTAACAAGCAACAATGCCAGATAGGAGATACCTTCTTTTGAGTTGTTGGCCAGGGTGGCCAAAGGGACTCCCAGATAGTAACCCAACATAGAACTGGGAAAATAAACAGCAGACCCCAATCTTATCTAAAGGAATATTGACAACTGATTGCCGCTAGATGAGGAACAGCTGACCTTCTTAAAACAAAGACCTCTAGATAGGCTGACTAGATTCACCAGATGGACAAGTAGTGGGGAATGGCTGGGGGTGCTGACAACATAGCGGACAGTAGCAGGGATAACAGAGTATAAGGGCTTTAGTTGGGGGAGGGAGACTATGGTAGGGTGCCATCTGGGAAGTGGGTATATAGTTGAATAAGATGGTTTGGGATGTTCTGTGTGATATATACACACAGAAAAAAAATCAACAAATTAAAAAAATGCATTATATTTGAGGAGGAAGCATAAAAGTTTACACCGCATTAATTAGTAGAGGTGGTGAACATTACCATTGAAATATACCCAATGACTTTATAGACATACACAGGCACCAAGGATCCGAGAGCAAATGATTACAACTAGTAATAATCAGAAACAAACAGATTAGAGATGCATGCACCAATATCTCAGTGTTAGTAGTAAAAACAATGAGTCTTTCTGTAAGAAAGAAATCTGTACTTCTTAGAGACACAGAACCACAAAAATATTTTTATGGCAGAATAAATGTTAGGGATAAAGGTGACTTTTAAGGTTAAATATCAGTAAGAGGACTTTTTTAGCTGGGTATGAGCTAGTCCAATGGATCAGGTAAAGGGAAGGATAGGGCTCTGGAAAATAACAAAACCAGTCTTGGCAGATTCTGATCGGCCATCTCCCATGACCAGAAGTGCATGTTCTTCTAGTAGATTCCTCAACTTTATGCCTAGTTAGAACTTCATCCATTTCTTGCAAAAATCTAGTTGTAACAGCCTGAATTGTGGGTAAGGATAGCTTTCTAAGAAAGCTCCACATGTTCCAGGAAGGAGACCACCCCAGAGTACTGCAGGTGTGGTAGACCAAAATTTGTAAGTAGAGATATCAGAGGCAGCTTTTGTCATGATCCTTTGGCTCAGCTCAGCCCTGGAAGGTGTATTTCTCTTTCACTTTCTGCTGGATGCGATACACCTTTGTTACTTGCCTATTCTGTTGTTATCCTTTGGGAGCATAAGACTGTTACCACAGTTAGGATTGGAAGGAGAGCAGAAGGAATCATATTTCCCCAATCCACAGTTATGAATTTAGAACAATACTAGAAAAATACAGAGCAGAACACTAAAATAATAATATTTGACTTTTAGGCTCAACTCCTTTATTCATGGAACTTTAGACTTCAAGTCTTGGTTCCCTTAACTTACAGGTGGAGAAACTGAAGCCTAGGTAGATAACTGTAAGTCAGGTACATGGCTTTGCAGTTTCTGCATTTACTTATTGGATGTGGACAGACGGGCTGACTTTTCTCTCTCAATCGAGCCTTTGTCTCACCAGGGCCACCTGCTTTTAAGCCCAGCTCCACTCCCTCTAGTTTATCTGTCCCAGGGAAATTTATCTAGGCCTCTGAGCCTTATTTCTTCATCTTTTTAATAACCTCAGCAGGCTTACTCAAGATTGCACATGTGAAAGGTTTGGCAAGGAATAGACACATGGGCAGGGTGGGTCCTCCTTCTGATGTCCATCTTCTGGGTGGATGAAGAGCAAACTTTGCTACATAGACACCTTATTGTTTTCCAACTTGAAACCTCTTCAACTGAAAACAAATGTGATTATGAAGACAATTACTCTTTGTTGTGGACTTTCTATGGGTTCTGCCTCTGCTAGAGACTAGCATATAGAGACTTACTTAATTCTTGCATAAGTATCCTATGGAGGGTACACAGGTATGGGAACAACAGGGTCCTAGACCTGCCTTCAAACCCTGCATCTTCAATATTTTATATAAAAACATATAGAACTCTCTACAAAAATACTAACCCATATAATTTGCCATTTATTACTATTACTACTACTACTACTACTTATTATTATTATTATTATTAAATTTTGTGAAGTTTCCTGGATTCTTAGTCTTGGCACCTAGATGTTTAATTTTTTTCTTTGACTTTTCTGTCTTGAAGTTTGCTAGAAACGTTCTGATTTGGTCAACTTTTCTCTCTTTGGCGTTACAAACAAAAATGTTGTGAGTATTTTGTGGTGCGGTACTTTGTCCATGGTCATAGACAAGTAAAAAGTACAACGAAACAATTCTAGAAGTTAAAAGTTAAAGGAGGTTTAGGGTAGTTATCAACCAGCTATATTATATATCTATAACACACTTCTCAAGAATGGAAGTGGACTTGTGAACTATTGATTTCACCCTGGTGTAAATTTCATCTTCTGGTGATAGTTAAAAATTAGCATGCTCATGTGAAGGCTTTCCGACTGAAATTTAGTTCTAAAATTCGGTTAGGCTAGGCTTGTTTTACAGACCCACAAACTTAGACTTCCTGTGGAACTGAGGCTGTTGAAGTGGTAAGAGTCCTATGCAGAGCAGAGATCAAAGGAAGGAAACTCTGGGGCAGCAAGTCCATGGAAAACGAGGCTTCACTCTGCTTAAATGCTGGGTTGACTGAGCTGTAATAGATCATTGCAAAGACAGATGCCTGCAAGCCACACCATTGCTGCACACACAAGATAATTCCATCAGCAGTTACGGTGTAATTCACCTTTCTTGGAATACAGGTTGGCACTGTAGTGTGTTTGACCTGGGCCGATCCCTTAAAACAATGGCAGTTTCTGGGGGGCTCAGTGGTTAAGAGTACTGGCTGTTCTTGCAGAGGACCCAGATTTGATTCCCAGCACTTACATGGCAGCTAACAACCTTTCGGTAACTCCAGTTCCACGGGATCTGATGCCTTCTTCCGACTTCTGTGGGGATTGCATGACACGGGTGCACTTATGCGCAAGCAGGGGAGATGCCCATACACATAACAAAACAAAACAAAACAAAAAGAAACAAAACAATGCCCCACAATGGCAGCTCCTGTTTTTGCTTCCTTGGAAGCCCGCTGCTACGTTATAAGAAAGTTCTGGATAGATAACCAAATGAGAAGAATGCTGAGAATGAGAAAAGAATCCTAGTAAACTTCCGAAAGTCAGTCCTAGATATCCGAATGAGGTGAGTATTCCATGCCTAGCTGAATTTTCAGCTGAATGCAATCCTGTGAAGAAGGTCCAATTGATATCATCCTCACCCAGAAGAACTGACTCACAGAACCAAGGAAAATAATAAAGATCACTGTAAATTTTTATGCTTTAGGGTGGTTTGTGACAGAGCAATAGATAACTGAGAACTTACTAGGGCTAGTAAACCTAAATTGTGGTTTGATGCTTTGCTGGCTTGGAGCCAGAACTCCATCCCTGCATACCTTGTCCCTGGTATAACCATTATCAAGTCCTGCTGCTGGAGTGGTTTCTGATGGGAATATCTGTCAGTAAAATAGTGTTGGTCTTCTTAATTATACTCATGATCAAAGCACATAAAAATGTAACTTTCCTCTAATGGAAGAAAAATTCTGTTTCTTTGAATTTGTGTTTTTTTGACTCTGGTTGAAGGAGATGCCCAGTCTGCCCTCCCTCAGCCAGTTCATCCTCCTGTGAGTCCAAGCTTGAATGACAGGTATTTAGACAAAGGCTGCTTGCATCCCAGGCTGGAATCTGGTACAAACCACACAGGGAGAAAGCTTTCCATTTAAGGCTATGACAGCCCAGACTTAATATAAGATTACTTCCTAAAAGTAGCAAGTTTAGGGTCAGTGAGTACTTAACTATGCTAGAACAGGGCTTCAATCTTGGCGCAATTGCTCTTTTGAACTCCAGAATTCTTTGATGATGTGGGTTGTCTTGTGCTTTGCAGAGTAGCACTCTAGCCTCTCCCCACTAGATGTCAATAGTGTTCTACTGCGCTTGTGGCCGCTAAGTACTGCCAAATGTGCTCAGGGTGGAGGTAGGTGCAAAATTATCCCAGCTGAAGACCATTCGTTTAAAGACTTCATAAACACTGGAAACTCTGTACTCTTAGGATTGACCTTAGGAGGTACTGTTAAGGGGTTCAGAAAGCTGTGGACTGGAAATAGGAACTGCCATCTTTGCAACCTCACAGTGTCACCAGGAGTATACAGACCACTAATTGTTGGGTAGGAAGTACTAGAATTAGAATGTTTAAAAATGACCCCTGTTTTCCTATTATTTTCAATTTGGGGGAATTAACATTTTTTCCCCCAAAGCGGATGGTGCTTTCTTTTCTTGGTATTGATTCATAACAGACAGTATTTACTCATGAACAGGGCAGAGATGGTTGATAAGGTAATGCTATTTTTGTTCTCAAGCCTCCTTTGTAGCCAGACTCTTGGTAGGGGATTAATTAGGCCTTAGTTCCTCTATTTTAATGAGCTTCACATCTCTAGCACCAGCTCATAGGGAATACTGCCCTTGTTTCCTCTGCTCTAAGGATTGTTTGAGAATTGATTTAGGAAGGGACACTCTGAGATAATGTTTCTTTAGCTTTACGGACTAGGGTATAAACAGAAGAAATGCTTGGATGCAATTTCCATTTGAACCATGGTAATCAATTTAGACAGAGAATGAAAGAAATTCAATCACAACCAGCAATATAAAAGTGCTGGTCTGACCGACTGAGTGAGTATTTTGTTGGCTCAGCTTGAACCAGGCAGGAAAACGATCCTGAGCATATTGCCAGATGCTAAGATCAGCACACCCCTGTCCCTGCTCTGGAGAGAATTGCACTTGAGGTTAGTCCCCTGTGTTCTGATGGCAATCGTTAACCAGGTTCAGCAGGCAGCAGATGGTTGAGTATACTGTCTAGCTAGGGGCCACCCCCTGAAACATCTATAACAGACACAAGTCAAGGGACATTCTGATGTGGAATAACCCAGGCACAAAAGGTCTTTGGAATTCTAGGGCACTAAATAGAACCAATGCAAGTTGGCAATGAGGACATGTCTGAGGAAGCCTTCACAAGAGTATCAGCCCCCAAGGTGTCCCACCAGACTCACAGAGTCACAGAAAAGACAGGAGACCCCAGACCTTATCATTTCCATTGGTATCTCTGTCTTTGGTCCCTCCACAACATCTATAAGCAAATTGGTTTTATGGCCAAGAAAGCCAGTTTTCTCCATTGTTCAGGTTTCTGTGTGCCTCTGAGTCTCAAATCCCTCCAGTTATTCACGTACCTGTAGACGCCCTCCACCACGATAAGAATCTTTTTCCATGCTCTGCCAGTGCGGGGTTGGCCATTGATGATAGCCTCTCTCAGGAGCTTCTCTAGGTTTTGTATATCTTTAAATAATATGAAAAGAGAAACTGAATTACTAGGGGACTTTTATTTTCCTTCCCCATTTTGTTTCTCTGGTTTCTGGTATTTATTTGTTTATTTGTTTTTTAGGGTCGTACTCAGACATGGCCTTTCAGAGAGCAAAGTTGGAATAAGACCACCTATGTGAGAGAGAAGTCTATTTTCTAGTAAAGCTGAATAGTTGTGTTTGTCCAAGTAGGCAGTCAGGCTTGATTTTGAACTCTCTCAGTCTCAGATGTTTCAGCAGAACCATTCAGGCTGTGGAGTACTTGATTGTCCTGGGTGAAATAGTTGGAGAGCTCTGCACACATTATGAATAAGTGACCATCACCGAAACCCAATTGCATGCCAGGCATCCTTCTAAGCTTATTCTATGTTATAGGTCATTTAATTCTCACAGGATCTCCCCCGACCCCGGAGAAGCCACTGAAAGTATCTTCATTTGGTAGTTGAGGAAATGGGGTATAGAAGGATTTGGTACACTGTCCAAGGTCTGTGTTCATAAATGGCAAAGTCAGAGTTTGAACCTGTCTCTTCTATGCTGAGATCCACATTTGTAACTACAATGTTTTATTGCCTTATGTGAGAGTCCTTGTACCACCTTTTCAAATGCCATGATGAGGTAAAACAGGAAAGAAGGGTGAATGTTTGGTAGAACACCCTTGCTCACTTTTAATGTCAAATAAAATCAATTGTGACATTTCATTTATCTTCAATCTGAGGCAGACTGCTGGGCTTGGGCTGTGTACCATTTGGAAGGGCTTAGCCATCAACCTACCTATTTGTGTTTTGTGTGTTATTTTATTTTTAACATTAAAATTCAGAGAGAGAGAGAGAGAGAGAGAGAGAGAGAGAGAGAGAGAGAGAGAGGAGAGAAGTTAGAGGCTTATGTGCATTTTTCTTTTTAGATTTGTTGCATTTATACTTTTTTTTGCACAGGGTAGCCCACTGGCCCTGGGATAGCCCAAGGAGAGGATGAAAGACAGGTATGGTAGTTATCTCAGATCACCTGCAATGCTGAAGCACAAATAAGTAGATTGGTGTATACTACTGAGGCTGTTAGCTTTCTTGTTATAATAAGTTACCTAGTATAGTCTCAGAAGACTCTTTCTGAATCAGCCTCTGCATATCTTCCTGGGATATTTTCTCTGTGTTCCCCAACACACAGCCTCCTATTCTTCTATATGCTTTTTCCTTCTTCTCTGGAGAGTATCCATTCATCACCAAGCCTCAGTTTAGACCAGTAAAGGATGCATTACTGAGCAATCCTCCCCCTGCCCCCACTGTGTGTCTCTCTCTGCTTCTCTGTGTCTTTCAAAGATTTATTTATTGTTTTTATTTTATGTGATGAGTGCTCTTGCCAGCATGCAAGTAAGTGCACCATGTGCATGCAGTGCCTGAGGAAGGCAGAAGAGGTTGTCAGATTCACTGGAACTGGAATTATAGATAATCGTGGGCCACCATGTGGGTGCTGGGAATTGAACCTGGATTTTCTGCAAGAGCAGTATGTGCTCTTAGCTGCTGAGCCATCTCTCTAGCACACCCCTCTCTCAACTCATGAATCATCTATTCTTTTTTGAAGCACTCATCATGTAGCTGGTTATTGGCTTTCATGTCTCTACTTAATGGAAGGCAGGGACCATTCATCTTTCTGGCACTAGTTCAAGTGCACAGTATTAGTACAACATCAATTTTGGATGATTGAACCATTTTTCTTTTTATAGATAAAGAACATAGACAAGGAGAAGGAGGGGATCCAGATAAGAATTATTTGATAGGACAACTGCATTCTGTCTGCAGTGATTTTTTTTTTTTTTTTTTTTTTTTTTTTTTTTAAGAAACCATGCTTTTTGATTTGTTTCAAAGACAAAGCTCTCTTAAGGACATTTCCAAGGGATGCCACATTACTCACCACTAGATGGCAGCCAAAGGAGACAAAAAACAAAACAAAAAAACAGCTTTACTGTTTCAAAAATTTAAGAATTCATAACCCTTCACCTCGCTATCTTGTTTTTACGTTGCTTTTAGGTTGAGTGCCTACACCACTGAAGGAATCCGGGAGTAGAGGAACCACCTGCCTTTCCTATAATCTACTGAAGGCTGTTAGTCTCTGCATGCATAAAGAGATAATAGGTCAAATATTTCTGTTTAAGGAACCCTTCTTTTATATATTTTATTTATTGTTTTTGTTTTATGTGTATGAGCGTATTGCCTGTATGTAGGTAGATGCACCCATGTTGTGCAATGCCCATGGAGGTCAGAAGAAGGTGCTGGATTCCCTAGAACTGGAGGTACAGATGGTTGTTAGCCACCATGTGGGTGATGGGAATCGAATCTGGGTTCTCTGCAAGAGCAGTCAGTGCTCTTAACTGCAGACTCATCTCTCCAGTCCTGGAACCCTTCTTTTTCTAAGTTTTTGTACATAAATGACATCCTAATAAAAACAAGTCCAAGTGAGCTAAATTACAAATAATTTTAAAAAGGAGTATTCTAAGATTAAAAAATAAATCTTTAAATTCACAAATGACTTGAATGGTGAGACCCAAGTGAGAGGATTCTGGTGGACCTCATGAAACTCAAGTTTCTGCACAACCCTGAGCAGAGGAAACATCAATCAGCTCTGGTTTGCTCGGCGAGGCATGACATCACTCACATCCTGCAATCACAGAAACTAGACGGGACATCACCCGGTAGTTTTCCTTCTTGTTTTCATTGTCTTGCTCCACAAGGCTACAGTGTATGAGTTTCAGGGGATTGTGATTTCTGTTCTGAGGCCTGTGGGATGCCTATTAAAGCAGGTACACCTGTATTATCTTAATTCCCATGACACCTCTGAGAGGCAGCTAAAAATGATTAGGGTTTTCTTTTTCTGTTTACTTTTTTGTTTTCTGGATGAGCAAGCTAAAGCCAGAGCCACTAAAACAAATAAGCAAACATCACCACCAAAAACAAATCCCTAAGATACACCTATTTTCATTAGTGTATAATAAAGCTCTGAGATAGGGAATTTGAAATAAAGAATAATTTTGATACCATCAAGGCACACACAATGCCACTGGACAACGTTGTTGTAAAGTTATAATGACACACTATGCACTTGTAATGACCATTAATTTGAGCACTAATGATGCCTTAGATATTATTTACCACAAAGCCTGACTCATCCAGGTTTCCTTTGCTTTGTGCAGGACGGAGAGGATAGACCTGCAAGAGGGTTTTGAAGACTTAGCCATCAAAATGAAAGGAAGGAAGCCATATCCAGGTCCCTGGTACAAAGTTGTCCTCGTTGTTCACAGGTGTGGTTAGCTGGATTATTGAGTCACTAATTACTGTAATAACTCAACTATATGCCAAAAGCTATAGTCAGGCTTGGGTGACAAATATGCTTGGCAAGCTCAAGTCTGTGCCTATCCTTAAATTCAAAGTCCTGATAATATCTGTAGGCTTCCTAGATGCAAGACTGCTATAGATATGATCTTATGATAAGCGAACACAAGGAAACAGGAGAAGCAGGCAGGCAGGTTTGGCGTAACTCAAACTATGATTTCTGGAAGACAACAAGCCACTTACTTCTGCTCTGTTTTTACCAGAGTGACAGTACTGTTTCTCCCTGTAGGGTCCCTCCTTTTCCCCTTGTGAAATTGTGCTTCGTTCTGCTGAGGGCCTAGGTTCCCTATAAGATCTCTGTCTAGAACTTGGGTGGAATCTCCCTCCCTGCTGGTGAGTTGTTCATAGTGTCAGGAGGTCCTCTATGCAGGATGCTTGGGGAGAAAAACAACCAAAGGACTTACTCAGCTGTGGACCTTGTGTATTACAATACCAACCTTCTAGGAAAGTGGCCCATTGGTGTATAAAAATGGCATGATTGGAACTGGAGAGATAGCTCAGTGGTTAAGAACACTTGCTGTTCTTCCAGGTTTGATTCCCAGCACCCACGTGGCAGATGTCTTGTAACTCCAGTTTCAGAGGATCTGACAGCATCTTTTGACCTCTGTGGGCATTGCATACACATGGTGCCCTTACACACATGCGGATGAAACACTCATGTACATAAAAATAATAACTAAAAATAAAAAATTAATGACTGTTTTATGGGGTAACTACTTTCTGATTGGATTTCAGATCTACCCCACTGAATAGAAAACATGGCTGGGGAGGTCACAGGCTCTAAGAGTGAACTGTTTCTCCTAAAAGAGCATATAACCAAACTGCTTCCTAAATATTCATGTTTATACCCACAGTCTTGAACAGAGGGGCTTCTTATTTTTATTTTTCAGTGGGTGGTAGTTAATGCAGAGGCTTATAACTCTCCAATGTGTTGACATTAAGTGACTGTTGAGTGCCCAGCCTAAACAGGTCATCAATTTTGCCCTCTTCAAGACCCAAAGAACACCATAGAAAAGGAGCGGAAAAAATGGAAGAGCCAGAGGACAGTGAGGAGATCTTTGAAACACCGTCCTCTGGATGTGACATGGGCACTGCAAGTTTGAATGGCAACTATAGATACCTGAACAAGACCTGTACAAGACTGGGACTTATATTCCATGGATGTGGAGAGGCTTATGAGGCCTTCCCTTCCCTGAGGAGATATTCACAGTTAATGGTTTTGTGTGAGTTGGGGAGGGGCAGTTTTGTTGTTTCACTGCTGTAGCTGTCAGTGCCCACGCTCCAGTAAAACCTCCCACCCATGCTCATGCAGTGAGAGGGGGAGGGGGAAATTTGGGAAGAAAGTCGTCAGCAGAAATGGGGAGGGCATAAGATAGGGTAATGTAATGGAAGGTGTATGTGATTACAGTACACTATATGGGTCTGAAATTGCAATGTGTGTGTGTGTGTGTGTGTGTGTGTGTGTGTGTGTGTGTATAAAGATCTACCTTCACTGCCCATTTCTCTGCCTTCTGTCTCCTCTGGGTAGCAGAGGTAGGGCTGGAATAGCTGCCTCTGTTTTCTATATTCTCCCTGGCTTCACTGGGGGTTTTACTTT